AAGGGAGTGGCCTGCTCATGGGCACATGGTCATTCTTCTGTCTTCAAGTCCTTAGCTCTCTCCTCCACCAACCAAGGCTTTCTGGGTCCTCAGTTTCTTCATCTGTAAAATGGGGATGCTGGGTCTCTTCCAGCTCTAGCATGCTGTGATTTGTCTTCTAAATGCAGACCCCAAACGCTAAGTCATGAAGAAAAGAGAAGCCCTCGGCCTGGATTTAAAACTCCTGGGGGAAAAAAAAAGTTTCCTTTCCTGCTCGTGGTTCTAACCTTGCTTACCTTGGAAGCATCTGCATAAGTGACAGACCTTGCTGAGTGGCGATGGTCCTAGGTGGCCCATCCAGTCTTCGGACTGCGGTGCCACGAGTTTCTTGGCGAGTCGGCCCGCATCAACTTTCCCTTTCCCATTACTTCTCCTGTTCACACTCCACAAATTTATGTCTTCTTGCACATTCTATTTTCTAAAATTTTCTCTCTCTCTAAGAACAACAACAAAAAGGAACGCAGAGTCCTCCACAAAACCCCCGACACAAAATGGGCTTCAGAAAGTCGCTCTCTCTCCTTAATGGTGTTCTCTTGTCAGGCACATCACCCCAGGGTTGACTTATGAGTCTCATCTTTCAGTATGTTCGCTTCATAACACTTTTCCATGGGTACATGGGTCCTCTGGTGCCCCGTTAGCTTCTCCCACTAGGTGGGGGGGCACAGGTTTTGCCATTCACACTTGACTAGTGAGAACACTGGGGCTCAGAGAGGGGAAACAGCTGATCCAGGCCATGGAGCTGGTTAGCGATGAGGCCAAGAAAAGACGGATGGCTTCTGACTTAAGTGCTCTCTCCACTAGCACTGTCTTTGGAAGCAGGATTGTGATAAGGAAGTGAGAACGACTCTCTGACTCTGGCATCCAGCCCTTTTCTCTCTGACTCCAATCATCCTCCTGGTTCAACTGAAGTACACCTCCTTCCTCTGAACCCCACAATGTGTACTAGCTGCCCCACCCCCTTGGCTCTCGGCACTGATCACCAGCTAGAGGCAATGGCCCTTTCAAATGAGTCTCTAACACACACTGAGGGTGCCTTAGAACAACAGAATGAATCTCACAACAGTAGCTGCTGTTGCCATGATCACTCATTGTTCCAGAAACCATGATTGTGAAATAAGCTACCCCACAATTCAGTAACATTTCAAAAATTATGCACACAACTCTGTGGTTTCTATATTCAGACAGGACACAGAGAGCACAGTGCTTCTGATCTGTGATGTCTGGGACTTCAACTAGAAGCCATGAAAGTGACTTGGAAAAAGGGGGCTTAAATCATCCAAAAACCTTGTTTGCCTCGCGCCTGATGGTGATGCTGGCAGACAGCTGGGGCCTCAATTCCCCTTCTTGTGGTTTCTCCATATAGCCTAGTTTGGGCTTCCTCCCAACATGGTGACTGAGTTCCAAGGCAAGAATCCTGTGGGAGCCAGAAAGCTAGCTGGGGAAAGAACACAGACCCTACCTCTTGGTGAAGGAGTGCCAGTCCCATTGTAAGAGCATAGATGTGGCCATCTTTGGAAAATGCAATCTTCCATATCATTATTATTATCTTGCCACCATCAATTTCCCCTTTAGGATGAGTTTCTTGCAGGTGACTCCTCCATCCCTTGTTGACAATGCTGCCACTGGCTGGCCCACCTTTTCCCCAGACATATCTGGTCCTGCAGTGGGCAAAGTTCAAACTTGGGCTCAGATCCCTGTCATATCCTACAGGACCATAAGCAGCAACATTCTTTCCTTGTCCCTATCTCTTTGCAGGAAGAGATACACATTGCTAGGACCAGGAGGACCTGGGGACTCAAGTAAGGGAATGGAAAAAAAAAATTATCCTAACTCAGCAACAGAGTTTCCTAGTTGCCTACCATTTATCCCTAGGAACACTGTGAGGGCTGACAGTATACTCAGCTAAAAATCTACAGTTCCATTTTCCTTTGCCGAGAGGGATGGCCAGTGAGATATACACATAAGTTGTTGGGTGAGACTTCTGGGGAAACTTTTTAATGACACTAACTCAGTTGGAAGATGTCTTTTACTGCACTTGTCATCTTCCTTCTTGTTGTCCAGACTCAGATTTGGTGGCTGGAGTAGCAGGAGCCATCTTGTACCCATGAGAGAGCTTTGAGAATAACAGAACAGAGAGACGGGGGCTGGGTGCCTGATGATATCATGCAGCCACTATAGTAATTCTGAACTACCTATTTGCACTAAGTAATAAAAGTTTTTAAAAAAAAGTCCCTACCTTGCTCAAGCCAGTATCATTCTTGAACCCTTATTATTAGTAGCCAAGTCCAATTACCGATAGAACCTTAATCACCTCCAGCTTTCTAATTAGGCTTCCTTCTTCAAATGCCACCCAGCTCCAATCCATCCTCTGCCTGGCCACGAGTGGGTGTCCTCACACACAGATTTGATGTTGATCCTCTCTTGCTTTGAAGCCTTCAATGGTTTTCCAGCATATCTAGATAAAATCCATACTTTCCTACTTAGAAGACCAAAGCCAAAGGATTGCTTGAGCCCAAGAGTTTGAGGCTGCAGTGAGCTATGATCACACACTGCACTCCAGCCCAGGCAACAGAGCAAGACCCTATATCAAAAAATAAAAAAACTCTTTTTTTTTTTTGAGTTGGAGTCTCACTTCGTCACCCAGGGTGGAGTACAGTGGCATGTTCACAGCCACCCCAACATCACACTGCTGGGCTCCAGGGATCCTTCCACCTCAGCCTTCCAAGTAGCTGGAACTACAGGCGTGCGCTACTACGCCCAGCTAATTTTTTATTTTTTTTAGTGTAGAGATGAGGTCTTGCCAAGTTGCCTGGGCTGGTCTCGAACCCATGGGCTCAGGCAATCCACTCGCCCTGGACCCCCAAAGTGCTGGGATTACAGGCTGAGCCACTGAGCCCAGCCTAAAAATTCAATACTCGTTAGCATGACATTCAGGATACTCCACACCCAGGCGCAAGCTAAACCATTATCTCCTGTCTCACCTCCCAGATACCCGGTGCTTCAGCCATTCCATACGTCTCAACATTCCAGTTTATACCACTTCTCAATATCTGTAGCCTTGCACCTTGCAGAGTTCTAGCTGGTGAGCTCCTACTTGTCCTTCAGTATCTAACTCTAAAGCCACCTCCCACAAGAAGCCTTCCATGATGCCCTCAGAATTAAGCCACTGCCTCCTGTGGACATCTAAGTCAAGTTCTTTGTAAAATATCCTCTGACTTGTAGCACTTGGTACAATGGATTATAATCACTTTTTTTTTTTTTTTTTTTTTTGAGTTGGCATCTCATTCTGTCACCCAGGCAACCAAGTAGCTGGAACTACAGGCATGTACCACCATGCCTCAGCCTTCCAAGTAGCTGGAACTACAGGCATGTACCACCATGTCCAGCTGAACTTTTTATTTATTGTAGAGATGAGGATCACTGTGTTGCTCAGGCTGGTCTCGAACCCCTGAACTCAGGCAATCCTCTCGTCTCCGCCTCCCAAAGTACTGGGATTACAGGCTTGAGCCACTGCACCCAGCTTATTTATCTATCTATTTATTTATTTATTGGAAAGCAGGAGTTTATTAAGAAGACAGAAAAGCTCCTGCCGTGGGAAGGGACTCAAAAGAAGGTTGCCCAATCACTTATTTTTAAATTGATGTCCCCTTAGACTGAGAGCTCCTTAAGGCAGGGACAGAGTTGTATTTTTCTCCCCAGCCATCAGCATATCCTGAATGAGTGAGTAGATGGACAGAGAAATGGGTGCAAGCCGGGCTCGGTGGCTCAGCCTGTAATCCCGCGCCTTTGGGAGGCTGAGGTGAGTGGATTGCCTGAGCCCGCGGGTTCGAGACCCGCCTGGGCAGCGAGACCTCATCTCTACAATAAACAAAAAAATCAGCCGGGCATGGTGGCGTGCGCCTGTAATTCCGGTCACTTGGAAGGCTGAGGCGGAAGGATCGCCGGAGCCCAGCAGGTGGCCGGGAGTGGCCACTGCACTCTAGTCTGGGCGACAGAGTGAGACTTCAACTCAAAAAAAAGAAAAAGAAAAAGAAATGGGTGCAGACCCTGGCCCCTGGGGATTTGGAACCTTCCCCCTTTTTGCTGCTGGGGCCCAGGGGACGGCTGAATTGGAGGAGGGTGTCGGAGAAACTGGCAGGCATCTAAGAAGAGAGCAGCACCTCATGAGTGCATATGGAGGGGCTGGGGTCCAAGGAGATCCCGGAAGCTGTCGAAGGGAGGGGCGCAGGGCAGTGTAAACATGGACATCACATTCCTTCACCTGGCATATCCAGTGCAGAGTCACTTGTCAGGAAGACAGAGCGGGAGCGAATCCCATCAGAGGCCTCCTCTCTCATTCCATCCCCAGCCCCACCCACATTCACCGTCCATTGAGTCCCCCTCCAAAGAAAACCTTAGAAATAGGAAAACCTCAATCCTGCTCCAGGCCACCAAATAGCAGGACCAGGTCCCAGCCATCCTACCAGACAGCATTTCCAGCTCCCGAAGCTGTCCCCACAAACCCATCTTCTCCCCTCCACAAGGGCAGGAGGCTGCTACGACCATGTCCCCATTTTCCAGGTGGGGACATGGTGGCCAGAGGTGAAGTGTGCCCAGGGTCACACAGCTGGCCAGACAGGGCTGGGGCCAAGCCAACCCCGCCTTCCTCCATGGGCAGCCGCTCCCCAGAGGAGCCCAAACGCTGACAGCCCTGGGGCAAATTCCAGGGGACCCTCAGGGCACGCCGTGCCAGGTCCTCCTGTGCTCCCGCCTGAGGCCCAGCGGCCCGCACAGCCCCCTTTAAGGAGTGCTCGGCCTTCCAGAAGAGCTCCGGTCTTAATTTTAGCTTGGAGGCCTGCCACGGGAGGCTTTAGCGAGAGGCAGGCTGAAGTTATGTGGGACAGCTGTCAGCCGGCATGCTGGGTGGGGCCTATTTAGCCAGCAGGGACACAAGTCTGGGGACACTGAACTGGTCACTCTGCCCTGGGTGATTTCAGCCCCGCCCGGCCACACGGCTCGGATCTCCTCCTGCGGTCCCCCGGTGCCACGATGATGGCCGAAGAGCACACAGACCTAGAGGCCCAGATCGTCAAGGATATTCACTGCAAGGAGATCGACCTGGTGAACCGAGACCCCAAGAACATCAACGAGGACATAGTCAAGGTAGGCTCTGCAGGCCTTCCTCACCGTGGCCCCGCGGGTGTCAGGTTTGCGAGTTTGGGTGCTCGGCGGGGTAGGGTTTTCTCAGTAGACACAGCTTCCCTGACAAGAGACCTGTGGCTCTGTCTTCTCCAAATCCCCCGCAAAAAGAGGGGCGTGGAAATTCCCATAGGACCTTTAGCATAATCAAGAGCAAAAAATTAACCTCTTCTGCACGACCCAGGTGCTGATCGGGCAGGAGAGGCCACTCACAGAGCAAATACCTCTTACTACACAGAGGCTCTCGCCATTCACGCCTGGACCTCCTCCTGGGAGGAGTAAGGAATTGTGGCCAAGCTGGGCTCTTTCCTATGCCAGGGTCATTTCTGCGGTCTCCACAGTGGGTGCAGGGTTAATCCCCACAGGGCAACTTCCAGCAGGACCAGTGGCCCTTTGAGGCATGCTTTCTCCCCCAGAGCTCTACCGGGCATCTGTCCCCCAGTGCTGGGGGCCAGACGCAGCCCTACCCCCAAGCCCCACCTCATCGCAGGTTTGGCAGCCAGGCCAGGTCGGAGCAGAGGCCTCTCGGAGGGCACCCGAGTTCCTGAAAGGAAGTGTTCAGAGTTGTGCTCAGAGTTGTGCAGCCTTCAGGGAGTCTTTGCACAGCCACTACCTGAAGTCAGGTCTCTTCCCTTGCCAGTGACACTAGCCTGACTGCCTCCAGGCCACCCCCTCAATCCCACCTCCACCCAGGACCCAGAGGGATCTTTCCAAAGCCGAATTCCTCAGAGCAGGGTCCCTAGGCCCCAGCATCAGAGTCACTGCAGGGGCTATTAAGAGGGCAGGTGCCAGGGGCCTCCTGGGTCCCAGTGATGGTGTCAGAACCTCAGGCTAGCTCTGTCCAATAATGGGATATCGTTACCCTATGGAATTTTAAATTTTCTAGCAGCCACATTTTTAAAAAGTAAAAGCGAACAGGTGAAATAATTTTTCCTGATATTTTAAGTTAATCTTATATATCTAAAATAGTATTATTTCAACAAATAATCAAAACACGTATCAATGAATTATAGTGCTGTCCTTCTTCATCTGCAAGATACAGTGTGTATCTTATGCCGATGATATATCTCAGTTTGGGCTCCAAATTTTCATCATAAAATTTACTAAAATTTACTGTTAGAAACTGATTCACTTGCCCAGATTGATTCAATTTTTTTTTTTTTTTTTGATTCAGAGTCTCACTCTGTTGCCCAGGCTGGAGTGCAGTGGCATGCTCACAGCCACCCCAGCATTGACCTGCTGGGCTCCGGCAATCCTTCTACCTCAGCCTTCTAAGTAGCCAGAACTACCGGTGCATGCTACCATGCCCAGTTAGTTTTTGATTTATTGCAGAGACAAAGTCTTGCCAAGTTGCCCAGGCTGGTCTCGAACCCACAGGCTCAGGCAATCCACTCACCTCGGCCTCCCAAAGTCCTGGGATCACAGGCTAAGCCACCGAGCTTGGTTGGTTTCAACATTCTTTAAGAAGTGTTCCAATAGTGGAATCGGGTATCAGTTTTACATTTTAGTTAAAATTGAACAAATTGTAGAATTCTTCAGGTGCATGAGACACATTTCAAGTGCTCAGAGCTTGAGGCCCCTGGATTAGATCATGTGACTAAGGATAGTCTTGCATTGCTCTCCCTTAATGTGGCTCTTCCTATGCTGGATAAAACCTCACCTCCCCATGTGGCTTTCCAAACCCAGCACAATGAGGCCCAACCTGCTTGCTTCTTCAGCCTGGTTTGCTTCTGCCTGCCAACCCGTGCACCAGAACACATCCCCATGCCTTTGCTGGGAGTGCTCACCTCTTCCCAAGTGGTAAATGCCCAGCTCAGTCTTCAAGGCCCAACTCAAATGGCACCTCCTCCAGGAAGTCTTCCCTGACTCCACAGGCAATCAGCTGCTCCGCTGGTCCCTCATCTGTGTATCCGTTCACTTGGGGCATTGCCCCAGAACAGCTCATATTATACTATAGATTTCTATAAGGCATTAGTGGTAGGGACAGAGTATATAATATTTCGGCACAGTGTGAAAGCTGCAATGGGGAAAATTAGGGAGCAAACTTCACAAACTATAAATCACTATATACATGTAAAATATTATTAGCTATGGTGTGGTCTGGCAGGAATAGTCCCAAATCTGACTTTAACAGCCCTGATTTCAAATCCAGGCTCTTTTACCTAAAAACAACAACATTGGGTAAGTTTAGGTTTTTCCTCCTGTAAAATGAGAATAATATCATTTACTTCCACCACATAAATGAATCTCAGAGCAGAGCTATGCAGTAAAAATATAATGTGAGGATTAAATAGGATACGGGGTTTGAAAATGTCTCATACTGTCCCCGGCGCTCAGCAAGGGTGTGCCAAGTGTGAGCTGGAGAGGGACCCTGAGGAGCCTGCAGTCTGAAGGGTGAGAGAACCCAGGCCAGGAGCCAGCGCTGTGTCCAGGCGACTGTCCTGGGGTGCCCTGGTGGGCTGAGGAGTGGGGGGTGGAGAAGAGAACCCCGTGAGAGATCATGGTTTCTAAAGGATACGCACAACAGGTGTCCAGAGGAAGCTCCTGGGTCCTACTGAGACAGGAGGGGGTGGGGGTGGCTCCAGCCCCAGGCCCAGATCATGATGCAGAGGGCGAGCCCAGGCAGCACAGGTGTGGCGGCTTTATGCTGCCTCCCCTGGGCTGAGAGCTGTCCTCTCCTGGCCGCCTTGAGCTCTAGAAAAATAGCACAAAAGGCTAAATAAGAGGCCCACAAATAGTTTTGCTCGGAGGGGGTTGTTATTTGGTATTTTTTGAAATTATCTGGTTTGGGAAGTTATTTGACTTTTTCTTTTATTTTTAATGAGTGAGAAATTTTAAAAGTTTGCTGCAAAAAAAGGGGTTATAAAACAGAGTCAGATGAATACCACATACAGTTTCAAGTAGACTTCAGGGCTGTGTTATAGTCTGCTGAAGAATAAATAAAAGAAAGAGGCCAGGCACAGTGGCTCATGTCTGCCATCCCAGCACTTTGGGAGGCTGAGGCAGGAGGACTACTTGAGCCCAGGAGTTCCAGACCAGCCTAGGCAACATAGCTAGACCCTATCTCTACAAAAAATAAAATGAAATAAAATTTTAAAAAGCCAGGCATAGTAGTGCACACCTGTGGTTCCAGCTACAGGGGAGACCAAGGCAGAAGGATTGCTGAATCCAGGAGGTCGAGGCTGGAGTGAGCCGTGATCACGCCACTGTAATCCAGCCTGGGTGACAGAGTGAGAACCTGACTCAAAGAAGAGAAGGAAAGGGAAGGGTAAGGGGAAAGGAAGAAAAGGACAAGAAAAGAAAACAGAGGAGGAGGAATGGGGGTGGCCTGTGTTCTGTCACCAACTGGGGAAAAGATGAGATAGAGCAACAGGAAGTGGGGGAGACAGGGAGAGATGGAAAAACAAGACAGAGGTCAAGCGGAAGGCTTAGGAGGCCCTAGCACTGCCTGGGTGGCAGCTGCCAGGGTGGCTTTGTGGTGGTAGCAGGCTCCTCATGGGCTAGGCTGAATGACATGAAGAGGATGTTGGAAGGGGACCTGGCTACAGAGACCCTAGTTCTGGCCCCAGCCACAACACTAGTTTGTTGTATGACTCTGGGAAAATCCCTTTCCCTCTTTAGGTCTGTGTCCCTGGTGCAGACAGTGACTAGGTAGAGAAAAGAGAGACCCTGTCCCCTCTGCCACCAGTCGCTGAGGTTTCACACAGAAAAGTAAAAAATGAGGAGGAACTAGAACCACCACGCCCATGGATTTGACCCCAGCAAAAGGGAGGCACGCCCTTTCGGCACTGCCCTTAAACCCTTGCAGCCAAGGCAGAGGGAGAGCCCTGTATACCCCAACAGATGCCATTGGTGGTCTCCAAGGTTCGAGGTAGGCACAGGGCAGTGTGGAAGTTTAGGGAGGTTAGAGCTGAGGAAATGGGGACAGCGCACCCCATTCCCTTTGCCACCTGCCCTCCTCACCAACACCGATCCCACAAATTGTGACCTGCTATGTGCCAAGCACTGTGCTATCCCAGAGGACATGGTGTTGGCAGGATGGGCCCGCTGTGTGCAAGTCCTACTGGGCTAGGACGATGGGAATGTCCGCCAAAGGTCCCTAGGGCTCTCTGCTGGCCAGCAGGTAACCTGAGTTCGCCGCTCCCTTCAGATCCAAGTTGGAAAGGCCCGCCCCCATGCATGCCTCAGGATCCCAGCCCCACCCCAGAATCCTCCCGAGTTGTTTCTGAGATGGCTCAGGGCTAGTTTGTGACAGTCCTCTCTCCCCCAACTCACACCTATGCACCCAGGCCCTAAAGCAGCGATGCTTGAGTCCGAGTGTCATGCAGATCCTCCTGCATGGAGTCAAATCCTCCCTCCTCAGATGCTCCCAAGTCGGCCCTTCAGACAGGTCAGGAAGCAGACAGACAGGATCCCCATCCTCCATCAGACCAGTTCCCACCCACTTCCACCCCATCTGCCGCAGGACACCTGCCTTCTTCAGAAAAACACCATTCTGCCTCTCAACTCAGGCTAATAAACACCCCGAGGGACCAGCATCCCGCCAATTCTACCAACTCTTGCCCATTTGGGGCCCATCTGGGACACCCCGTTGCACAAAGATGAAACTGACATGATACTACCTCCCTTGAAAAGAATTCAACCAAGAAAGAAGTTTAGAATAATGAAAATATACAGGAGAAGGACCTAAATGCCCCAAGTTAGTGCTGGATGAAGTGCCATGGGGTTGGGGGAGGCAAAAAATCACTTTCACCTGGGAAAATCGGGAGCCAGCTGCATGGGAAGGTGGTATTCAAGGTGCATTATAAAAATGACAAAAGTTTAAAACATGGAGTAGAGGAACAGGGAGAAAAAATAAAATAAATAAAAACATAAAAAATAAGCAAAGTTGTGGAGACTTTCACAACACTGGGAAGAATGTTGGGCAGAGTTGGCAAATGTGAGTAACAGGTACTGCCACTGCT